TCGTTTCTGAGCATAGTAGTCAATTTCACCCTCTCACTGCCTTCTGAATCTCACTTGGTATCTCTTAAAGTAGGCCTTATTCTTGACAACTTTAATAAACCCCATTCTGAGGAAGAAAGACTTAAAATCTCAGCTCTACACAGACCCGCAGGCCTGCTGGGACTATGTGGGCAAAGACCAGAATCTTGTGCACCCATCTTAATTTTTTACCTAATTAAAATGTACATGTGCTTTTTGATCTAAAAGTTCTTTTTTAATCCAATTTTAAAAAATGACTTCTGTTTTTAAGTAGCTGAAGTGTTTGCTTTCGTTGGACCTATGCAAACAGTGGAGCAAAACTATGGAGTTACCCCTCCCCCCCAAGAAATATTCTGTTTTATAGTGACCTATTGGATTTTCCTTTCTTGCCCTATCACTTAGCTTACATATTCATTTTGATTTCTGCTTTGATTTTTAAACAATCTACTGCTAGGACTGGGAAAAGAGCCCAATCCATAGGTGCTTATCTTGAAAGCAGGGGGACATGAGTTTGAACCCAGAATCTACATTGTAAAAGCTGAGTATTCTAATTATATTATAATCTTAAAACAAAACAAAAATCTTAGCATGGTGATCTGCTCTAGTAATCTCGGTGCTGCAAAGGTCAAGACCAACAGATCCATGGAGCTTGTTGGCTAGTGTATTAGTCAGTGGTCTTTAAAGTAACAGAACTTAAAGAATGAACCTGTCTTATATAAGTATAGAAAGGGGATGTATTAGAATGACCAATAGGCTGTGGTCCAGCTAATCCAACAATGGCTGGCTATGAATGGAAAGTCCAAGAATCCAGTACTTACTCAGTCCATGAGGGTGGATGTCTCAGTTAGTCTTCAGTATAAATTGGAATCCCAGAGAAGTAAACTCTAATGCCAGTGGAGGAATGGACTTAGTATCAAAGTGAGAGCAAGCAGGCAAAAAAGAAAAGTTTTCTTCCTTCCATGTGTTTATATAGGCTTCCAGCATTAGGTGTGGCCCAGATTAGAAATCTGGATTAAAGGTGTGACTTTCTACCTCAAAAGTCCAGATTAGAAGTAGATCTTCCCACTTCAAATTAATCAAAAATCCCTCACAGATGTGCTGTCTATTTTTTTTATTTTATTTAACTCCAGATGTAGTCAAATTGAGTACTAAGAATAGCCACCACAAATGCATCCCTTGTCAACTTCACATACAATCCCATCTCATGTCATGATTAATCACCAAATGAAAACAATCACTAGATCATAATAACACCTAAACCTGCATGATATAACTTTCCCATGTACAATCACAAATGCATTATGTATTTAACCATATCAAAATTATATTTAACATGCTATAACTACATCTCATACAACCACAAACAAATTGTAAATTAAGAATAGGTGGCAATGTCCCTTAAGTAACATTCTTTTAGTATCTCAAACTTAAATATGATATAACCATTGATATTCTCTTAATTGATGTTATATCACATGATAAATTGAGGAAAGAAAACACAATTATCTTTACAAACATATTCTTAACAAAATATGAAACATTCATGTCAATTTTAGTCCTCATCTTTGCAACTGGTAATGTGGCCTTAGCTGGTATTTATAACTACCTTCCTCTGCTACCCATTCTGTATTGCCTCCACTGTTGGCAAGCACCTCAGAAGGTCTTTGCACTTTTTGTGGAGGAGTTACCTATACCTTAATTCCTGAAGGCTCTTTTTCCTTTGTCAGCCTGCCTGGGTTAGGTTGTTGTAGTTTCTCATTTACTTTAATTACAGGATATGGTAACACCAAGAGAAGCCCTAAAGGATCTCCTGCACTTCAGACATAAACCTCCATTGTGTAGAAGCAATCCAATTTTCCCATGGAAATCTGGATCAATCACCCCTCCTACCACTGTTTGTTATTCTTTTATTGGCCTGTTGGCTTAATGACATCAGAAGCCTAAAGTGGACAAGGGGAAGTCTGAGCTTCCAGTTCAATGGAATATTTGTTGTGGCTCCTGGCAGAAACATTCCCCATTCTGGAACCAAAACTTCTAGGCCACCAGAACATAGAGGTGTGGGAACAGGAAGCAAAAACTTCCCTAGTGGGTCACGAGGGATGATAGTAGGTGGCACTATTCTCTTTTCCACCCCTTGATTCCTGGACCCATAGATCCCGACTATGGAAGAAACAGTACTTACATTGGATACTGATTCAAAGCATATACTGCCTTCTCAAGAACCCTTACCCAGCCTTCTATGCTGCTGCTGCTGCCACCTAATTCACACTTTAACTGTGTCATCAAAAGGCCATTTCATCTTTCTATCAGGTCAGCTGCTTCAGGATGGTGGAGAACATGGTAAGACCAATGGATTCCAAGAGTGTAATCCCACTGTCACACATCTCTGGCTGTTTAGTGGGTTTCTTAGTCAAGCAATATTGTATGGAATACCATGATGGTGGAAAAAGAGTTCTTTAAGACCATGAATGGTGGTTTCAGCAGAAGCATGTGTAAGAAAGGCAAATCCATAACCAAAATAAATATCTAATTCAGTAAGGACAAAGCATCATTCTTTCCATGGAGGTAGTAATCCAATGTAGTCAACCTTCCACCAGGTTGCTGGCTGGTCACCCCAGGAAATGGTGCCATGTCTGGGACTCAGTGTTGCTCTCTTCTCTTGGCAGAGGTGGCACTCAGCAGTAGATGTAGCCAGTCAGCCTTGGTGAGTGGAAGTCCATGTTTTCAAGCCAATGCATAAACCCCATCTCTGCCACATGGCTACTTTGTTCATGGACCCATTGGACAATGACAAGAATGGGGGAAAGAGCCTGAGTGTGCAGAACAAAATATCTTAGATATCCTATTTAATTAATTATTGGATAGCTCCTCAGCTGAAGTCACCTTTAGATGAACATTTACACGGGACACAAATATGTTCACATCCTTCATCCATTTGGAGAGATCTAACCACATACTTCTTCCCCAGATGTCTTTCTCACCAATTTTCTAACCCCGTTCTTTCCAAGTCTCTGATCATCCAGGCAATCCATTGGCTACAACCCAAGAATCAGTGAACAATCACATTTCTGGGCATTTCTCCTTCCAAACAACCTGTATGAACATGTGTACTGCCTAAAGTTCTGCCCACTGTGACAATTTCCCTTTGCTGGTGTCTTTTAGGATTGTCCCAAAAAGAGCTTGTAATGCTGCCTCTGTCCACTCTGAGTGGTGTCTGCATAATGTACAGAACCATCACTAAACCATTCCCTGGTCTTCTCTTCCTCAGTCAATTGATCATAGGGTACACCCAATGAGGCTATAGATATATGCTTGGCAGCCAAATGTGTTGTAACTGTCTTAAGGTTTCTATTGCTGTGAAGAGACACCATGACCATGGCAACTCTTATAAAGGAAGACATTTAATTGAGGCCATGGCTTACAGTTCAGCTATTCAGTCCATTATCTTCATGGTGGAGAGCATGGTGGCGGCATGCATGCAGACATGGTGCTGGAGAAGTAGCTGAGAGTTGCCATCTTGCAGGCAACAGGAAGTCAACTGAGACACTGGGCAGTATCCTGAGCACAGCAAATCTTAAATCCCACCCCTCACAGTAACACATATCCTCTAACACGGCCATACCCACTCCAACAAAGCCATACCCCCTAATAGAGTCACTCCCTATGAGATTATAGGGGCCAATTACATCCAGACTACCACAGCAACTGAAGTAGAAACTATAGGCATTTGGGCTACATTTTCATATAACTTGCTTGTGCCTTCAGGACCTGCTTGGGCCTGATTATGTATATACATACCACTTCCATTTGATAATAGATTGCTGTAGGGCATGTTCTACTTTATGACTTGGTGGGTCAGAAAACATCCAGCTCATGATTGGTAGCTGGAGTTGCATGGTAACTTGGTAGCCCATTGTCAAACATTCAGTTTCCACTGAATTGGCCCAATAGCAGGCCAAGAGCTGTCTTTCAAAGACTAGTTGTCTGCAGATGATGGTAGAGCCTTGCTCCAAAATTCCAAAGATCTCTTCTGTGATTCACCTACGGGGGCCTGCCAAACATGCCAAACAGCATC